GGCTCAGCGCGGCAGCCATGTAAATTTAAATGAAGCCGCGATCATTTAAATCGCGGCTTCATTTGCCTTTGCCTATGTGTCTAATCTACATGCCTCTGCCGACAGAGGCATGTAGTCTAGACACAGCCTCTGTGTTTTGTGCTGTTACTTAGCTCTAATTTACCCCTAAATGATTTACTTACCCCTAATTTGCCCCTAAGAGCCCAGGAAGCAGTGGGCGTGTGGCTAATGCTGCTAGACAATGTTGACCTCCTACAGTCTGGCAAATTCTCTGGTTTGGCCTTTATCCTAGTCACAAGCCTGGAAATAGCCAGAAATCTGAATGCTGCATTTTCAAATGTTACCCCCATGGCCGAGTGGCTGCAAAAGCACTGACTGAGTGACAGGGGACGGAGCGCTTGATGATTATCTGTTCTCAGGCCTACCAATGGGACGGGTGGGGGTGGGGAGCAATTGCCCTGGGACCCTGAGCTCTCGGCCATCGCTACTGCGGCAATGGCGGTGGCTGGAACCCTGTGCCCTTTCAGTTGCTGGCTTAGTGCCATGAGGTGCGCTCTAGGCAGCGCTGAGGCCGGCGGAGGGGGGGGGAGGGACCGCAGTCTGGGAGGTGCTGAGTGCTGGCTGCCTCCCGTCCCACCCTTTCCAACTGAGGTAGGGTTGCCAGATGGTTTAACCAAAAATACCAAACACCTCAAAAAAAACCAACTGGGGAAAAAAATTCTGTTGAAAAAAAAAAAGGGGTAGGGGAAGAGACCAATGTTGTTCAGCAAAAAAAAAAAAAAAAACCCAGCATGGCCCCTTTAAGAAATGCTTTTGAGGCTTTTTGGCCCTAACATGCTGCCGGCAGCCATCTGCCAAATTGTCTTCCTGCTCCAGGCCAGACAGCTCCTCTGCGGAACCAGGTAAGCACCCGGGATTTTCACCTCCTAGCCGGGAAAAAATCAGAAAATACCCGAAATTTTAGGTGTCCAGTATTTTCTGAATTTTTTTACTGGCTGGAGGCAAAAATACCAGACTGTCCGGGTCAACACCAGACACCGGGCAACCCTAAACTGAGGCTCTGCCCCTACTAGGGGCACAGAGCAAGTCCCCCACCCCGCCGAGGCCATCAGCCCTACAGCCGCTTCTGTTCGTTCCCTCTGAACAGGCACCTGGCACTGGGCTCTGGAAGACAGGACACTGGGCCACTTTTCTTGACCCAGTGTGGCCGCTCTTAATACTCTTACTTTCTACTCTTTCAGGCCAATGATGAGGACATCGCAGAGCCTCACTATGGCTCTCCTTCAGATGTGCACGTGGTTCAGCAAAACCCTTCCGCATCCGCATCACTTGGCGTTTGTGTGGAACCCAGGAGAAAGCCGGGTTTCTCGAGCGGGTGCCCAGGTCCCATGGGGCATGGGAACTTCCCTTCTTAAGGCTCTTTCGGAAATCCCAGCCCAAGAGCTTTGCTCAAAAGGAAGGAGGTAAGCGTTTGCGGAAAGGCTCAGCCACTGAGGAGCCTTTGGAGGGGATCTAAGAGCTGAACTGCTCATTGCGATTTAGTTCTAGGGCCGAGTCTTTGTGATGCTGGGACACAGCTGCAGGAGAGTCCCTCCCTCCCCGCAGGCTACCCCCAGTTTCGCTAATGTCCACAAGACACCAGGGAGCTTGGTCCCCAGAGCTGCTCTGAGCAGGTGAGGCAGCCTGGTGCTTAAAATGCTTGAGCACCCTGGCGCTCTGCATGCACTTTAGCTCCTGCTTTGCCTCCTGGCAAAACAGCCCCCAAGATAGCAACAGCGGGTGGGTTTCATCAAGGAAAGAGAACAAGCTTAAACCCTTCCTCCTGGCAAGGGCTGATGGGAGCAGACATGGGATGAGCTGCTTCTCTTAAGCAAACTCCTGAAAATCCTTTGTTATCTAACTACCTGAATCTACTGGAAGGGCAATTCAGTGTATTGCCCTCCGATAAAAAGGTGCTGCAGCAACCCCACATAAAAATGGAAAGGTCTTTTGAACCAAATAATGGCCTGATCGTATTCCAACTGTCCTTGATCCAAAGATTCTCATTGATTTCGGCAGCACTTGGCTTGGGCATTAGGTGTCTTTGCACATGGCGTTGCGGGGTGGAGCTTAAGGTTAAGAGAGTTTTTAAAACAGCCAATCAGAAGAGCTGGGCAAAAGGTTACTTGACATATCTGAGGTCACTGAATGAAAGGAAGGATTGTGGGTAAAGGTATAATAAATAAGACATAATTTTTCTCCCCACCAACCTTCCAATTGCCCATACCTCCAGTGAGGAGGACTTAGATGAGATCTCAAAGGAACTGTATTGTAAGTGTTACCAGGCATCAGGAACAGACATATCTCTGCAAAACAGAGTAGTGTTCTTCCTCTACTACCAAGATCTTACAGCCAGTTTTCATGAATAGATTTTTTATATAAACCATTTAATCTTCATGTTTCCTCTACAGTGTTTTTGATTGTAGATAGGAAAAGTGAGACCCAAAACTCCAAACCAGCGTAAGAAACCACAGCATGGAATAGCTTGTGTTTACAATTACCCACTCAGCTTTTCATATCCATTCACACACAACTATCCCAGGAGTTTCACAAGCATGGCTTTTTATGAGTTGAGTGCATCATTTGCATCAAATGATAAAGCCAATGACCTATGCCTCTTTTCCTGTAAGCAATGTTATTCACCGAATTATTTCTGCAAAGCTGTAAGTCTACAGCTTACTCCTGTGATGATTATTACAAATATCCACGACTTGAAATTCAGGCTGTCTTAATTGGACTGTGTGGGTATGTCTAAACTACATGGCTCCGTCGACGGAGCCATGTAGTTTAGACATACCCACACAGTCCAATTAAGACAGCCTGAATTTCAAGTCGTGGATATTTGTAATAATCATCACAGGAGTAAGCTGTAGACTTACAGCTTTGCAGAAATAATTCGGTGAATAACATTGCTTACAGGAAAAGAGGCATAGGTCATTGGCTTTATCATTTGATGCAAATGATGCACTCAACTCATAAAAAGCCATGCTTGTGAAACTCCTGGGATAGTTGTGTGTGTCAGCGCGGCAGCCATGTAAATTTAAATGAAGCCGCGATCATTTAAATCGCGGCTTCATTTGCCTTTGCCTATGTGTCTAATCTACATGCCTCTGACAACAGAGGCATGTAGTCTAGACACAGCCTGTGGGTCACATGCTCTTCTTTCTTGTTTCTGATTGGCTAAGTGTACCGCTTAGAATTGAGTTTTCTGTGTGAACACTTGTGATTTATGAAAGAAAAATTAGTTTGCTGAAAACACTCCCCTTCCATAATTATTTTAAAATATGCGATTTCTATGAAGATTCGTTCCAGTGCACTTGTTTGCGGCACTATTCATAGGAATATATGTTTTAAAGTTGTTGTGCGGATACCATGAAGGAGGAGCTTAAGGAACCCTGGAGATTTGGAAAACAAGAAGGCTTCAGCTCAAATGCTCAGTGATGGAAAAAAAAAAAAACCCAACCAAACCTAGAAAATGTAGGATGCATAAAGAACAGAATAAATAGAGCTAATGGGGAAAATTTTGCTTTTTTTTCAGACAAGTTTGAGTTTTTCCACTAAAATATTAGGTTATTCCACTAAAAATTGAAATTCAAAATGTTTCAGCTAAACCCTGAACTATTTTCATTCTGAAACGCAGCTATGGAGTCTTAGGGCTATTGTAGTTCACATGATGCATGCTCCTATTCTCTATTAGCCAACCTCACTGGCTGGTCTATATTTCCCACGATGCACCAAAGTCTGTCCCTTTGCAGGTGGGAGGTGATGCATTATGGCAGTTACATGAACACAGTGCACTCTGGGAGATGAAGTCTGGCTGAGGAGCCTGGCCCATAGAAGAAAAATGAGAGCATGAGGCATCCACACTACAACTCCCATGAGTGACTTCAGTGCCATTTCAGATTAGAAAAACTTCAGAGTTTGGCTGCTCAGCTGATGGATGAAAAATTGAAATTTTCTGTGGAAAGCAGCCATTTTGTGTGAACGGTGTAGTTTAGCCAGAAATACACTTTTCTATCAATAATTTTGAGAGAACTTTTGTCCAGACCTAACAGAGAATGATGCTGAAAATATTATTGCCAATATACAACTGATCCGAAGCACCCATGTAGAATACTGTTTTCAGGTCTCTCGCTCTAAAAGGATACAGCAGAAATAAGAGTGTCTTGAGACAGGTGATTAGAAAAATGGAAATACTTCCATGTGAAGACAGATTGAAAAGACTGGGGATTGTTTCTCCTTAGAAAGAAGAGAAATAAGAGCCAAATAGTCTGTTGATAATAGAACAGGCATTTCTATTCAGCCGGACTCTCAATATAGAAACAATGAATGCCAAAGGGAAAAGCACAGATTTAAAATTTTATGAGTATGTACATTTGTTTTTACTCAATACATGCTTGACCTGTGGAACTCAATGCTGCAAGATGTTGTTGAGACCAATGGCTGAGCAGATTCAAAACCCAAGTTCGAATCTGAATCATCTCTGTGTTTAAAGGGAGGACCATAGGGGGATGGCGTGACATCCTGTACAGGCTGTGGGCCATTTGTGTCTGGGCCTTTAAGGCAGAAGTACACGCTTCACCCTGGCACCCTGTCTCTCTGCTGTCAATGAGACGTACTTGCAGTGGGCATGAGGGAGGGGCATTCATGAGCGTTGGAGATGTTGATGGAAGTGCCTGAGGATTTAGCTCATTAGGGGTTAATTTGACTATACATACCTCAGCCCAGATGGTTGTTATCCAGCATAGTCAGGTCTCCATTTTCATTGATTTGCCTGTAGCTAATGAGAGACCCTTGTTTCCCCCTCAGTTACACCTCCTCCTGCACCCATTGGTCAGGTGGGCGTATTGTCCTGCCCAGGAGCCATGTGCCAAGCCACTAACTCCCCTTCTGAGATAGTTAAAGTAACCAATTTTCCTTCTGATCTTAGCCCAGCTCTCATTGCTGGGACACGCCCGTTCCTGGGGCATCCAAGGAATCTTTTAGCGCACTAGATAGAACAGGAAGAGGCCCCATCTTTTTAATTGGCTGCAGGGCATGCGTGGCCGGTGATGCGTGCCCCGCAATGGAGCGTTGGTGTCTCGTAAATGTAGGAAGCTGAGCATCATTCAGTCAGTGCTGTCCTGGGTTACTGTTTGTGCATTTTCAACGGGATCTGCCCCATTTCATACAGAGCAACTTGTCCCCACCCCATTGTCACATAACAATCCCAGACCAGACCTCGCCGTGACACTGGTCCAATATGACGCTCGCTGGTCCAACGTGCTGCTGGCAGTTGATATTTCCCACTGTAGTCTAGCACTTTCTTTTCAGGTAAGGGTTGTGAGTCTGTTGCCATCGTCCCCTTCCTCTGCACTGCTTCCCTTCTGGGCAGGCATATGGCGGATGGGATGAGCTGTTGGTACTGACCCAAGTGCTGGCTGCATTTCAGCGATTCTCTCTCCGTCTCCTGGATCTACGTGTGCTCCTCACATCACCACGGGGACTTTGCTCAGCCTCCTGCTACATGCCCCAGAACAGTTCTGAGGATTGCCCCTGGGGGAGCCAGCGCTGGCTGGATGACAAATGCTTGGTTAGCTTTAGGCAACTCCTGCAGTCAGCAGAAGGAGCAAACTTTCAGAAATTCTCTACTGCCTCCCCACAGTTTTGACAATTCCCCTGATGTTGTTTAAGACTCTTTCCGCCCCCCCGCCCACCTCTGAGCTAGCCAGTTTTCGGACACAGCTCGCTCTTTGCACCAGTGGGCATTGTGTCTGAAGACGGATGCCCACAACACAGAGGGATCTGAAAACAGGGAATGCTGGGAGTGTGCTGGCATGGCCGTCCTTAGGCATGCACAGCATATGCAGCACCTGAAAATGTGGGGCACGAGATTTCGGGTGCCCCTATGTGGCCATGTGTGCTGGTGTGTCTATGGACGACCCTGGTCCTTCTGTGGTCCAGCCCCTCCTCCCGGCTGTTCTCTTGGCCACCAACGGCAGGGCTGTCTTCTCCCTGCCTCACAAGGGAAGCCCTGAGCCATGGCAGGAGTCGTGTGGGGGACAGGGCAGGTGTAATGGAAGCGCTGGGAAGCCCCAAGTCCTGGCAGAAACCAGATGGAGGGAAGGGGAGCCGGGTGGCCTCAGGTAACTTGTGTAGGGCCCCACAAATTGGCCCTGGTGGTGGGCACTTTTAGAACGTTGGTGGCAGGCCAGAAACCAGTCGGAGCAGCAGCAGCTTGTAGGTCCATTGGAGGCCCTGCACCTCGCAGTCATTGCTAAATGTATCCTCTCACCCTCAGCTCCTGCCGGGAAGAAGAGTAGTGCTATTACCCCCATTTCACAGAGGGGACCTGAGGCACAGAGAAGCTAAGTGGCTTATCCCAGGTCACGCAGGGACTGTGTGGCAGCACCAGCATTTGCACGCTGGTCTGCTGAGTCCTAGGACCGGGCTCTAACCACTAGCCCCTCCTTCATTTCACATGTAAAATGTCATTTCAGCATAGGAATGCCCCAAGGAATGGTCTTGCTGCACCTCCCTCAGCCCAGCCCCCAGCTGGGAGGGGGTGGCTCTGTGTGTGGAGATGGGCTTTCCAAAACTCTTTTGCTGACCTACCCCATGTTGCCCAGGCTAGCAATGGAAAGAAGAGCCATGCCACTCCAAAGGAAGATGGCAGTCCCCGTGACGGGGTGAGGCTGTTGCTGTTCATACAGCCACCCAGTCTGTCTTTTTGGTTCGGTGTATCTCCTTCCCAGGCTTGGCTTCTCTGCCCCTGTTACACAAGACTTCAATGGATCCGGAGCCCAGCAAATGCAAGCTATTTCCTCTGGCTGGGGTTGTTTCTATTAGCACTTGTAAGGTCAGGCTAATTGCTTTGCTGACTGGAGCAGTGCGTAAGCAACAGCCCTACGTGCCATAGCAAGATGGGTGTTTTCGTAGCTGCCGGCCCTTAACCTAACCCAGGCCTTTTGACGGACTAAGCGGGTTACAGTGGGATCTGCCCACCGGGCACCAGTTTGCCTGGAGATAGAGCCAGGTTCCTCACAGGAACAAAGGGTAGGTTACTTCTTACTTTAGCCCAGGTTCAGTAAGTAAACGGTAGTTTGAATGTGACCCTCTCCTTTCCCACTTTCATTAATAGTTTTTGTGGTGGCTGCCAAACTCTGGAAGAGATTCTTTGCCCATCCAAATTCTTACATGTGGCTAGAAAGAGGGCTCAGGAAATTCCCCCAACCCAAAAACAGAGCAGGGTTGGCACAATCAGCCCTGGACACCTCCTTTTGGAAGCTCTGGTGCACAGAGAATACCATTATGGCCTCTCTCTAATAGATGCCACAAGAGCAATTCTGTACCACGAATGACACAGAGTCCCTCTGTCTCTCAGGCAGTGATCGATGCAGCAGGGGTCGATTTGTCATGTCTGGCATAGACGTGATAAATCGACCACTGAGCGCTCTCCCGTCGACTTGGTACTCCACCAACACAAGAAGAGTGAGCTGAGTCAACAGGAGAGCATCAGTTGTCAGCTTGCCGCTGTAAAGATACCGTGGTAAGCAGCCCTAAGCACACTGACTTCTGCTACGTGAGTCACGTAACTTCAACTGACAGCCCGTGGTAGTACAGACAAGGCCCAAGTTACGTTGTTCTTCACTCCTCCCTCAGGAATGGCATTGCTGGCATAGAATGGCTGCCACGTTCCACCCCCCAGTGTGAGGGGGGTGGGAGATTCCTGGGCGCTGAACACAGATTTCCCGCAACAAATGGTGCTATATCACTCAAAGGTGTGAGCAGTCCTATATAATTAGGGGGGCATTCAGAACTAACATAAGAACATAAGAACGGCCGTACTGGGTCAGACCAAAGGTCCATCTAGCCCAGTATCCTGTCTACCGACAGTGGCCAGCACCAGGTGCCCCAGAGAGGGTGGACCGAAGACAATGATCAAGCGATTTGTCTCCTGCCATCCCTCTCCAGCCTCTGACAAACAGAGGCCAGGGACACCATTTTATCCCCTGGCTAATAGTCTTTTATAGACCCAACCTCCATGAAATTATCTAGCTTCTCTTTAAACTCTATTATAGTCCTAGACTTCACAGCCTCCTCTGGCAAGGAGTTCCACAGGTTGACTACACGCTGTGTGAAGAAGAACTTTCTTTTATTAGTTTTAAACCTGCTACCCATTAATTTCATTTGGTGTCCTCTAGTTCTTCTATTTAGGGAACTAATAAATAACTTTTCTTTATCAGCCCTCTCCACACCACTCATGATTTTATAGACCTCTATCATATCCCCCCTCAGTCTCCTCTTTTCTAAATTGAAAAGTCCCAGTCGCTTTAACCTCTCCTCATATGGGACCCGTTCCAAACCCCTAATCATTTTAGTTGCCCTTTTCTGAACCCTTTCCAAGGCCAAAATATCTTTTTTGAGGTGAGGAGACCACATTTGTACACAGTATTCAAGATGTGGGCGTATCATAGTTTTATACAGGGGCAGTAAGATATTCTGGGTCTTATTTTCTATCCCTTTCTTAATAATTCCTAGCATCCTATTTGCCTTTTTGACCGCCGCTGCACACTGCGTGGAAGTTTTCAGAGAACTGTCCACAATAACTCCAAGATCTCTTTCTTGATTTGTCGTAGCCAAATTAGCCCCCATCATACTGTACGTATAGTTGGGGTTATTTTTCCCGATGTGCATTACTTTACACTTATCCACATTAAATTTCATTTGCCATTTTGTTGCCCAATCACTCAGTTTGGTGAGATCTTCTTGGAGTCCCTCACAGTCTGCTTCTGCCTTGACTATCCTAAACAGTTTTGTATCATCTGCAAACTTTCCCACCTCACTGCTTACCCCTTTCTCCAGATCATTTATGAATAAGTTGAAAAGGACTGGTCCCAGGACTGACCCTTGGGGTACACCACTAGTTACCCCTCTCCAATCTGAAAATTTACCATTTATTCCTACCCTTTGTTTCCTGTCTTTTAACCAGTTCTCAATCCAAGAAAGGACCTTCCCTCTTATCCCATGGCCACTGAGTGAGGAACAAGACCTGCGTGGGCACAGTATTACCGAGAGAGGAAACATACTGGAGACAACGGGATAGACCTTCTGCTGGTGTAACTCCACTGACTTGATTGTTGTCCCTTTCCCCTAATTGTCCCTGACAATTAGCAGCAGCTTTGGCTCCGGTCCGGCCTTTCCATGCAAAACACTCATCCAGCTTGATTCTCTGTTGCTGAGCATTTGACATTCCCTTTGCACTGTTCTATATGGGCACCGTTCTTCACCCACCTCTGCCTTACATTCCCACAGGGGCAAAGCGGAACCCCAGGGGCAGGGCAGCAGAGAACCCGGCCCTGCTCTTTTACCTTTGTCTCCATGCAGCATGTCCTTGGCTTCTTATGTCAGAAGACACGGCTTGCCCAGGGTCTCCCTACAGGTCAGTAGCATTGCCAGGAATCCTACACTATGCTCTTCCATCAGTTATGTTCTGCTGTGGTAACAGACAGCAGCCATACAAGTCTGACTCCTATTAACCTAACATGAAGGAAAATCTTTCCAATTAAAAAAAAAAAATCTGGGGACCAAACATTTGCAGTTCTCTTGGGTGGCTGCTTAAAACCCGTTAGCTGCAAAATCACTGTCATTACTCACTCAGGGTATGTCTACACTACAGCGCTAATTCGAACTAACTTAGTTCGAATTAGTTAATTCGAACTAAGCTAATTCAAACTAACGCATCCAGACTAAAAAACTAGTTCGAATTAGCGTTTTGCTAATTCGAACTAGCATGTCCACATTAAGTGGACCCTCAAACCGGGGTTAAGGATGGCCGGAAGCAGTGCCGGCAGGGCATCAGATGAGGACTTAGAGCGTGGAGCTGCTGCCTCAGGCTAGCCAAGGGCTGTGCTTAAAGGGACCCGACCCCCACCCCGGACAGACAGTTCTCAGGGGTGCCCCACTTGCAAAGCAGTCCTGTCTTGGAGTGCCCTGAGTGCCCACACTGGGCACATCACAGCACTCAGCCATCAGACCGGCTACACTTGCCGCAGGCTGCCATCTGGGGAGAGGGGGTAATTGGGGGGCTGCAGGAGAGCTTCCACCCCC